CCTCAATATCTTCACCATGTGGATCCAGCAGTACTCTCCTGTCAATTGACTCAAAGCAGTCCCTCAGAGCCTCCTGTGCTTCAGGAGACCATTTTCTGAAGGAGCACATGATAGTGGGTTGTCTCTGTACAAATGGCTTGTACTGGGGCTGTAGAAGGACTAGATTGTAACCTGATTTCCCCAGTGGGGACAGGGGGGTGGCATTGTATGCATCCCTAATCTTAGCATGCATGAGGTCTGTAGTCCTATTTTTCCTTGTGGGACAGTCCACAAACTGATANTTCTCCCCAAGCGAGCTCGATGGGCCGAATGGCCTCCTCTTGTTTGTATAGTTCTTATGTTCTTATGGTGGTAAGGCTGTCCTCCTGGCATTCATCTTTGCTTCCATTTATGAGATGGGCATCATCCCAACTGACTGGAAAATGGGACTTATTCAATTAAATTCAATTCAATTTATTTTTATATAGCACCTTTCACAACAGAGTCCTCCCAAAGCACATTACATGGATGTGTTGTGACATATTAAACATTATTAGAGAGAGTAATACAAAACGGGAAAAAGGAAGGAAAGAAATTCAATAAAGAAAGCCAGAAGACAACGGAGGAGAGGAACCAAAAACTTCAAAGGAGAAAAAAAAACTCTGGGGGTCAATGGTCAACTGGCCACCCAACCCCCCCAGGGATACTAACATTACTGAAAACAGAAAATAGTGAACTTGCTTGCTAAAGGGTAGGCATACACTGTGATTAAGAATCAAGACAAATCCATCAATGAGTCTGTTATCCACGTTGGCCTGTGAAAGGTGGTCAAAGTCCATCAATAAATCTTTTTCTCCACACTGGCCTGTGTCAAGTGGCACTGAAGGCTGCACCCACGATGATACAGTTTGTAGGTCCCATTCACGATGTCACCCCTGCATGAGACTGAACCAGAACTCCAACTAAGATGGTGCCAACCCAGAGCACCATCCGGACATGTGTGAAGGCAGAGAGCATGAATGGTCAGAACATGCGTTGACACATAAATAGGCAAGCATAGTAGATAAAATTGGCATGTACAACAGCACCAGCAGCCATAGTTACGGTGTGTTAGGTTGCGCGTAAGCTAAACTGAAGTAATAGACCTTCAGTCGAGATTTAAAGACCGAGACCGAATTGGCATCCTGAACATAGGCTGGTAAACCATTCCCCAATATAGAGGCCTGGTATCACAATGCTTTACTGCCCACTCTCACTTCGTTTTTATGTGGAACGACAAGGAAACCTGCATTCTGTGATCTGAGTGGACGATGCGGCTTGTAAATTTGTGAAACAATCACCTTCCCTATCTGGAAAGGAAAGGGTGATCGCCTGAATCACCCTTGATACAGAGGGATAACACTGTTCTCAGTGCCGGGTAAGGTCCTTGCTAGGGTCATCCTTAACAGGATCCGTGATCACTTGCTTGCCTACCAGTGACTGGAGCAGTATGGTTTTTCGCCTAAGAAGTCTACCATCGATCGCATCCTGGCACTGAGGGTTCTCATCAAGTTCAAACGTAAATATCGGCAGAGGTTCTTTGCATCCTTTGTCGATTTTCATAAAGCATTTCACTCAGTTGATTGAGCTGCCCTGTGGGACATCCTAAGACTTTGCAGGATTCCCCCTAAGTTACTGGATGTCATGGCTGGCCTGTACTCTGTGTCTAGGATTGCTAGTGTCCTGGATAAAAACTAAGATCCCGGCCTTTATCTAATTTACCAAGGCTTCCTTTAGAACTTCATTTGGGGGGGAGCCTTAGAGCGCACATGGCGGAGTAGACGTGTTTTTCTGTGCTCCCCTCTGACAAAATCGAGTTTCAGTAATTGCAAAGTTTTAATAGGATGGTTCCTGGCTTAAAACTTTACTATAAGTGCTTTAACGGTGTATTCACAAAATGACAACACATAAGACAACCAGAAAGCAGAAGAAAATGGCTGGAGACGACGCGAGCTTACAGCTAAGCGAGGAGCAGGCTAATGACGGGGATCTGCGGGCTAACAGCAGAGGCAAATCCAGATTCTGCAGCCATTCTCTCAGCAATTAACCATATGAGTAAACGATGGAAGAGCGCTTTAACACCCTAGAGGTCTCTTTTCAGACTATTCAAGTCACCATGGCTGACTATGGGGCACGCATTTCTAATGTGAAAACGGTCAGCAGTAGCCATGAGACTCGTCTGTCTGATGATGAAGCTGCAATATGTGAACAGATCGCTCCGAGACAAAATTACTGATCTGGAGTCGAGGTCAAGACGACAGAACATAAATTGGTAGGTCTGCCGGAGGGTGTCGAAGGTGGCAGTCCAGTGGACTTTCTGGCCAGATCCACATTTTCCTTTTTTAATGTTAGAAGAGTCATGAACATAATGTATCACAAATTTGGTAAATCCTCTAAAAATGCTATTATTTGCCTAGATGCAGAGAAAGCGTTTGATCAAGTGGAATGGGAATATGTTTTTAAGGTTCTGGAACAGTTTGGACTTAGTGAATCTTTTGTTTCTTGGGTACGTTTGCTCTATGCCCAACCTACTGCCTCTATCTTCTCTAATGAAAATCGGTCAAGACCCTTTTCCCTTCATAGGGGAACACGCCAGGGGTGCCCACTGTCCCCCCTTCTTTTCGTATTGGCTGTCGAACCCCTTGCAATTAGCATCAGAGAATATGACCTTATTAAACCTATTCCACTGGGAGGTGTTGATCACAAAATATCTTTATACGCTGATGACATTGTCCTCTGTGTCAGAACCAGAACAGTCAGTTCCTCACTTACTTCAACTCATTAACTCTTTTTGTGAGGTTTCAGGCTATACTATTAACTGGCAGGAACCTGGACCCAGCTTTTTCAAGCACTGTACAGTTTAAAATTGTTTCAGATAATATAAAATACCTGGGCATAAAAATTTCTAAAAACCCTAAGAACCTATTTAAAGTGAACTTCACTGAGAAGTTGAGTAAGTTGAAGGAAGATATTGAAAAATGGAGAACCCTACCTCTTTCGCTGGTTGGGCAAGTAAATGTTGTGAATACAGTATGGTGTCCTTACCAAGGTTTCTATATTTATTTCAAAACATTCCACTGTTTATCCCCAAATCATTTTTTAAGTCCATTGACGCTATTATTATACCTTTTATCTGGGGGTATAAGGCCCACAGGATATCAAAGATCCACCTTCAGAAATCAAGGGGGCATGGGGGGTTGGGGTTACCATGTTTCTTACATTATTATTGGGCTGCCATTGTGAGAGCTATGGTATATTGGCAATATGGATATCAAGTGGAGGACATCTCATGCCTGTCTCCATGGCTTGCTATTGAAATTGGTCTAACCTCGGGCACCTCTCTCCCAGCTCTCCTTTTCGCGTCACCTAAACCTCCTGCGACATTGAAAAATTATCACTTTATAGTGGCCAACACTCAGAGAATTTAGAATCAAATTCAGAAATCTTGTAAACTCCCTGACACATCAGTTCATGCCCCAATCTCACATAACCATTGCTTCTTGCCATCCTTAACAGCCTTTAAGGATTGGAGTAGAAAGGGTATTATAGCCTTGAATAATCTTTTTGTTGGTGGACGCTTCGCGTCATTTGAACAGCTTCAATCAAAGTTTTCCCTCTCCCATACACAGTTCTTTAGGTACTTACAACTGTGGAATTATGTAAGGCAGAATATACCGGCATTTGACTCCATTCCAAAAGAAATCTCATTGTATAAGTTGTTGTTGGGCCCCCCAGATGCAAGACATTTAATTTCGGATCTTGTTAGAATATTTGTTGGTAACCTGAAAACGTCTACAGACATAATAAGAAGTGCATGGGAAGCAAAGCTGGATATTAAGATTGATAGTGACATTTGGACTAATACTCTCGGTGGAATTAAAACCTGTTCTATCAATTCCAGATTACAGCTTCAGTTTAAGGTTGTGCACAGACTGCACTATGCCAAAGTTAGATTGCATAGACTTTGTCCAGATCTGTCACCCATGTGCGATCAATGTATGGAGGCAGAGGCCACCCTAGCACACCACTTCTGGTTATGCCCTAAACTTAGGGATTTTTGGTGTTCCATATTTAAATGGTACTCTTATGTATTTAACATCACTTTGTCGCCAGACCCTGAAAAAGCGTTATTTGGATATTCAACTGCACTGGAGAATATTGATCATAACATTTGTCCAGTCTTGGTACATGGTATGGTGAATGCCAAGAGATGTATTTTAAAACTATGGAAAGCAGATTGTGCCCCCTGTTTTAAAATGTGGTTAAGGGAACTCCTGTGAGTTCTCCATGTTGAGAGGTTAAGATATGATCTGTCAGGCAGCACTAAAAGGTTTATCAAAATATGGAATCCAATACTACAATTTATGAATGATAAACGAAACCCCACAGACATATAAGGTTTATGCTAATTGTCACCCCTTCGTACCCTTTCCAGATTCTGCAGCATAATTGTTAGAACATAGTGACTGTTGCCCCTTTTTTTTATTTATTTAAGTTCTTTACTTGTCAATGGGAATTTGTTGTGGGGGGCGGTGTATGGTATGTGTTTGCTGTCTGTTTTTTCTGTGATTTATCTGAAAATTATAAATAAATACAGTTAAAAAAAAAAGAACTTAATTTGGCTTTTGAGACGTATTTATGTATTAGTAAGTACTTTATAAATAAAGCACTGTACAGGTCAAAAACAGTCAAACAAATAACTTATATGTACAATAAAATATACAGTATGGGGGAAAAAATCTAACCGAACGCTTGTTTATATAAAAAAGTTTTAAGGCTACTTTTAAAATAGTCAATTAAATTAGTTGCATGTCTCTATGGAGGAGTTAAAAATGTGTTAAAAAGCCTAGCTGCTGCATTTTGAACAGCTTGTAGATGGGAGACAGAAAGCATGAATAAACATTTCAAGCTCAGCTCTAGATACCATTGTGCAGAGCTTACACACACACACACACACACACATACATAGACACCATGAACCATTTTGTAGAAATGTTTTGGTCATTATGTGCATTTTATTATGTTCATTTCTATATTACATATGAAACTGATATGACTTCTTTTGATACATGGCCCAAAATCCATGGAACAAAGGACTTAAATGCTCTAATGTGATCACTTCTAGGTAGAAGCCAGCAGAATTAAAATACTGTGAGCAAATGGAAATTCACTTAAGCATGATAGGAAATGGCATCTGAAAATAATGACAATTCTATTTGTAACCATTAAAAGGTATTTGCATTGGTTTTCATTGCTTGACCTTATCCAAATAAAAGACATAATGAGAGGACACATATCATCATCTGTAAGGACAAGGGCTTGAGGATACAGGTCTGGCCTCTTTAGTTCTTTGTGTTTCTGTGTGTCTAGCTGCAGATGTGCATTACAGTTTATCATTAATAGCGAACATGGGTTCAGGAGCAAAGCCAGGACATTGGGGGTGTTTCCTATCATCAGCTCTGAGGACTTGCATTGCTTTTCTTTTTTCACTCAGAGAAATCATATGTAAGTCACAAGATTCAAAATTTGCCTGCATGGCATTTATTTCTGTTATAATCCTAATCCTAACACAAAGTTTTCTCATCTCATCTCTTAATTGAAATGTAATCCTTTGCCAGCTTTTTAGAAATAATGATTAAGTGTAGTGAACAATTTAGATTTCAACCATCATTTATGTTGCAGTTACACTCCATCCAATGAATTTTAACTACAGTCAGGGATTCGTAAATATCAGATTTCTTTAACAAAATACATTACTCATTCCCAAATGCTTCCAGAACATTGTCTACAGCCCCTCCCAACAGCACTCCCACGAATCTTACTACATTGCTAACACCCCTACCCCCCTTTACAAAGAGCTGTCCCAGCCCAGCTCCCATACTCATCACCTGGGAGCCCAGCTCTGAGGAGAGAGCCAAAACGTACCCTTCACCCCGCTCCAGCACCGTCCCACCAATAAGCGTGGATGCTGACCAAGTCGTGTTCACCACCCCACCGAAGATGCCAACCCCATCCCCAGCCAGGACACCCATCCCAGTGACCCCCTCCATGAAGCTGGTGAAGAGTGTTTCCACTAGAGGGGAGGTGCATGAGTAAACCAGTGAGCCACAGCCCCCCAACACCCTCCCCAGCAGGCTCCCCACGGACGAGACTCCGCCCGCCGCATCAGAGATAATGTTGTGGAAAACCAGGAATGTGTCATAGGGCACAGCTGAGAGTATACCCAGCTCCTCCTGGAGCACATAGGACACCTGTTCGGGAAGCTGTGCCAGTGTGGAGGCGGCCGGGTAGAACGGGATAGAGACCAGGTACAAGGCTGACGAGAGCAGGTACCGAAACGGGCCATCGGAGTCATTCTCCGTTTCAGCAGCAGCTGAGCCATGAACTGGAGCTTCGTCCATCTTCATCTGTGAGTGTTCGGCAAACCTCTCTGCCACCTTCCCCAGCATGTCCTCCCACTCCTGAACCCCATCAGCCTCTCCGCAGCCACCAGGAAACAGACTGCCAGCCTTGATCTCCTCCTGCAGTGCTCCGATGCCCAGCACCCTGACCCCCTCTTCCCTCTTGCTCAGCACACCAAAACTAAAAACTCTCTCCTCGTCCGGGGCAGCACAGCACAAAGCCAACCAGTAGAGGGCGACTGTGCTGCCCTTTTCAAAGGGATCCATGGGGTGTGTGCCAGTCAACACATACAGATCACCTCCAATGGACTGGCACTGAGGAAAAGCATTTGCTTGGACTAACTCCAACACAGTGACATCCCACGACTGGGCATGAGTGTCTGATGAGGCGACAGCCCCCTCTTGTGGTCTTAGAAAGGAAATTGGCAAGGCTGGATGATCTTCCTCGTCCTCAAAAGTAAACATGACAAAAGAAGAGAGAATAAAACATTACCTTTGTTATTATTGACATAGATTTAAATTAAATAAAATCTGGAAAAAAAACATTTAATTTTCTCAGACATGAAAAATAGCAAGCCAAAATCTCAAAAAAAGAACCATTTTCAGCACTGGTGTACAGAAATGTTTGCAGTGACTCAATCTTTCCCCTTTTGTACCCTTGAATGTCATCTTCCTTTAGCCACCTAATGAAACTTTTTGAATGTAATCATCTCACACACTGCCATTGTTGGATAACCTTTTCAGACAAGAAATCGAGCAATCACTTGAGTCAGTCTAATTTATCATTTTATCTTACTAATTAGATGACCGCATTATCAATAAATAAGTTCTATTCATTATACAACCTTCACAGAATTTTATACTTTAGTTGCACATGCTAACCTTCAATTTTTTCTTAACTATATTTGAATACAGAGCCATAATAATAACAATTGGTTCTTGACATAAATTCTGCAAACAATAGCTACATTTTATTTACTTAGCAGATTCTTTTACCCAAAGAAAACAGACAGTCCCTGGAGCAATTGGGGGGGGGTTAAAGGGTCTTGATCAGAAAGACCCTAGTGGTGAAATTACACTGCTGACTCCAGGATATGAGCCAACAACCATCCAATCACAGGTATAGTATCCTAACCCACTGTACCACACACCATCACTCAAAGGCACTACTGGGATTCAAACACAGGACCTCCTGTTTACTAGAAAGGCAATTTAACCAATTAAGGAGTTGTTGTTAACAGCAACCAGTTCCTACTCTGATTTACATACAATGCAGACATATAACTCAGAGTATATTTATATTTCCTTTCCTCTCTAATGTTTCATTTGTTCACCTGTGTGTTTTCTGATGTGGTCCATACATGAAGTACAGCGGTATGTTTGCAGAGATTCAGAAGAGACTCTGAATCCTGAGGTACTCTGCCAGTTAAACCTGCACCCTGTTCTTTCACATGCAAACGTTTGTGAACTTCCTGTTTACTGGAGCTGTTTGAGTTTCATCATTAAACCAATGGATTTCAGATGCCTTTGGTTTTAATATCAACTTTTAGCAATGAATTGATATTGAAGCTTTTTTCTAAAAGCACAGTATGAATAGATTAGTTCTTCCTGTCCTAACTCCCTAATAACCCTTGAAATGTTGTTTGTCAACCAGTCTTCCTTACTACCCCTAAGTGCAGTGACAAGAAAGCTCACTATGGTAACTAGCCACAGGTTACAGTGTTTGGAACAAGCTTTGAAATACTCTGTTTGAGTTGAAATACTCAATTCTCAAAAACACTAAAGAAAACATATCTGTGTCTGTCAGTCACCTTGAGAGTCACGTCCACATCATTATCGCAGCAAGCACAAACTACACAACAAAAACTTGTTGGGACGTGTCTGCCTCTTAAGAACCAGCACTGGCAGCAGAACTACAAGCCCAGCAAAGCCAAGCAGGGTGACAGAGAGCCCTGTTGAGGCACATACCTGTCTGTCTCCCTCGCTGCCCATGCGCTCCAGACCCCCAGCAACGTTAAACGCCAAGTAGGCCGTAACATCGCTAGAAGCATCGTAGAGGGTGGCGAACGGCTGCGCACCATCAGGGCTGTGACAGAGGAGCTGCAGCTGCTCCCCCCCAAAGCCTGCGGGGGGCGCCCCTTTATGGAAGCTCTGTGCACATTCAGAGGCTGCTGCGTCTTCTCCCGCTCGCACTGACACGCCGAAACAAAGCCCGGCCAGAATCCAGCTTCGAACGCCGGCAGCTGAAAGAGACATGGTCACCTGAGCAGACCTTCTGGCTACGATTTGAAGGGCTCCTCAGATCAACCGAGGTGAAGGGACTGTGCGCACCCTTGCTATCCCTGCATCACCTTTGCACCACGCCCAGAAGCCCAATCTCTTCCGCGTATCTCTACCCCTCCCTACCAAGCTGCCCCTACCAGCTACACCCCAGCATGCCATACTTAGGCTCTAACAACACCTAATACTTAAACAAGTCCATTTCCACACCTTCCACTAGTACCTGTAAGTCTGCATTCCAGGACAGCGCCTTCTCCTTATTGGCCTTTGCTTTGGGCAAGTGAATGACTGACAAGCACAACTGTTCCCAGCCCACAGACACACTCAGCATTAGGGATCATTAGTGCAAAGCACACAGCGCTAATGCTCTCGGTCATGCTAAGCTGTAAACAGAATAATTAATCACCAGTAATACGATAGCGTGCACATTACAGGAGGAAGCTTTGTGCTGCAGCAGGTACTGCAACACCACAGAGAGGAGCAGTGCGGCCCCGAAGCCCCTTTGAAAGGCATACAAGGCGCACATTCCTGACCCTCTGACACCATAAGTATGTTTGGATTTCAGCCTGAAAAAGATGCCAGAACCTTCACAAGAAACAGAATAAGCACCTGGAATTCCTGCCAACCAAGGAACTGTGTCTGAAGATCAGAATGTGAGCAACACAGACCACTGATTTGAAATAATGGGTTTATTTGAACTTTTCGGTATTAAATTCAATTACAATAAAAAGGAATGAAATAAAAATAATCCAATCTTGCGCTCTCTGCGAAAAGAACAAAAAAAAGAATCAGTACAGCTTTTAAATATGTCCCCCATATGTCTAAACTTACTTTAACGTTTAATCTGAAAGATTTCAACAGAAGATACGGAGCTATCAAAACTCTGGTGGACCCACGGGGAAACGTCTTCAGCAGCAGGAGAACCGAAACGTCTCTTGTTATGTTTCTAATGACCTTCTATCGTTTACGCACAGCATATCTGTCATATGAACTTCAGCTGTTGTGAAATGTCACACTTGCAGAGCATCTTTTTATATGCGTGAGAGATAAGCCCTAGAGGGGGCAGGGATGTTGCCCCTTTGCGACGTGATTCATTTTCGTATAAACACACGCCCTGCAGTGGTTTGTATTGTTTATATGGCAGCTGCTCAACCGACAATAGTATGAGTGAGCCCTGGGAGGCGTGAGGCGACTGACATGGGCCGTCACTCGTTGGGAATGTCGATGACCAGCTCGGCCTCCTCTCCCTCGCCCCTCTCCTCCTCAGCCCTGTCGCTGTCTCCCTCGCTCTCCCCCTCGTCCTCTGGTGCATCCCCACTCAGCATCTGCCTGGGCACCCAGCTGAAGGGGGCGCCAGAGGGGGCCGGGGAAGCCGCAGAAGAGGGGTAGTTAGAAGTCGCAGGGCCCACAGCCTGGAGAGCAGTGAAGGAAGGACAAGAAGAGAGGCAACATGAGCAAAAGATGAAACGAAAGATCAAAAGGGAAAAACACACAGGACAAAAAATGGAGAATAACATTCTGGACATGCAATAAAACCGATTTTCGGTATTAACACAACAGAACTGCAGTTTTTACAGGTCTAATGAAAACAGAAGCAATGGAAATATCTCTGCTATTCTTACTCTGTAAAATACCCATGTCCAGGTGCTTCAGGTTGTAGAATATAATTACCCCTTATCCACCACTTGGGGGCAATGTAGCACCTAAAAACATTATCAGAACACAATAACAACGGCTGAAGCTGCGTGACAGCAGCAAGACCTGCACCTGTCAGGGACCAGAGCCAGCTTTAGAGAGCCTTGCGATTAAAACTCTAACCCACAGATGATAATGCCTGATGAACTCCTGTGTGTCATGTAGGCCACTCTCCATCTCGCCCCTCTCTCTCTCCCTCCCTCTCTCTCTCGCTCTCTCTCTCTCACCTTCCCCGCAGAGTCTTTCTTGTGTTTGGTCGTCTTTGCCTTTCTCTCTTTCTTCCCTCGTTCAGCGGAGGGGGCCAAATACTCTGGGGGGAAGGGCAGCTACCCACCACACGCACAGAATACGTGCAGGTGTCATTTTTTTTTTTTGCGCAAACCAAAAACACACCAGGCAGACACACACCCACACATACCAGGAAAATGTTCCAGTAAGGGAAAAGTGAAGTCATGGAGAGAGGGGGGGAGGAAAAAAACATATGAATAAAATGGCCAAAATTAAATACAACATTTAGACATCACAACTAACTCAATGAAAATGAGAAAAAGAGTAACACTGGTGTAAACAAACAATGGATCAATAGAAAGAACCAACGGCCTCAATGATCCTGCCTGGCTTGAAGACATCCCAGTGACAGTAACCCCATGAACTCACAGTACTGAGGTAGGGTGTAGATGCTGCAGGCTGGAGAGGATTCATCCCAGGGCGAGAAAGAAGGGAGAGATGAGGCGATGAAGACGAGGCAAGGGGGGGAATGCCAGGGCTGCCTCTCCTCCTGAGGGGGACACAATATAATCATCAAAACAGCAAAATAACAGTATGGAGCTCTGGGAGCAGCAGCAGTCACCAAGGCCTGTCTCACATGCTCACTTTTTAACACCTTCTCGCTCTCTGTCCTTCAGTCCTTCCCCCTCACTGTTATCTGAGGAAGCTGTGGCCTCAGAATCTGCAAAGAGACCCACAAATAATGTCACGAGACATGTAATACTACCATAACAATGGTACTATCAGCAGCACTGCTGTACATTAAATATTACCATAAAAAAATCAGACAATAATAAAAGAAAGTTAATATAAAGGACACTGGAGCAGGCGCTTACCAGACGAATCTTCGTCCACTCTCTCATACTGTAACAGTCTATCTAACAAAAAGCTGACATAAAGCATAGGACACCGGTCAGTACTGCGTTAGGCTTTTACATAAGACCCATTTCACTGCCCGAAAATCGCTTCACCTCTTATCTCTGGACACCTTGAGTAGTTTCCTTTGCGCCCTCCTCAACTCCTCCTGGAAACATTCTTGCTCCTGAAAAGCACATGAAGAAATCTGAATAATAAATTACTGCCGATTACCTAGAAAATGGACATAATTCAGGTTAGCATAAAAAAAAACTTACGTAAACGAGAAATTTCAGTTTCCGCTTCAGGTTTTTGTATTTTCGCTTATAATCCACGTCCATTTCAGCCTGCCCGTTCATTTTTTCCTGAAAGAATTGAGTTATTAATATGACATCCCATAACCGAAAATCAGACAAATATATATTACAATTTTTAAGAAATTAGAAAATGGCACGAATGTTTACTCCATATAGTATTCATCGCAATAAAGAAGTTAGCTTATATTTTAGCTAATGTGCTACAACAACAAAAATTGTTAAATCCACGGTAAAATAATATATATATTATTCATATGAACAAATTACTAACACAAAATACTCACAACAATTCCATAAATTGGCGAAAACTGTCTCACTACTATTTTTGTTTATCTTTATTATTACACGTTTCCTGCAAAAGAAAGCGGTTGTAATCTTTTTCTTCTGTGTTTTTTGTATCTCTGTTGTGGCGATAGCGCCACCTTCCGTCTTGGGGATTAAACTGCCCGATCTAGCTTTATCTTAGAAAACCAATCGCAATAAGCGGATAAATGGAGGTCCCTAAGAATTAACCATAATCTGACGTTCAGAATGAAAACGAGTGCCCTTCATATCTTATTTTCGGAAAAGACAGTCAGTGAGGGGGCGACTATTTAGTGCTCAACTTCAGGCTACTTTCTATTTTATGTTTAATGCAAAAGATATAAGCGGTCCTAATAACCTAGAGGTTGGTTCTTTCGTTGTGATGTGAACAACGATTTGATGAGAATAACTTAATTAATGGATACAATAATTTAAAAAACTGCCTAAGTCGAGCTAGCATAGTTTTGTTTTTTTATAGCTATAAATCATAGAGGTAAAATAAAAGAGAACCATCGTTTCTTGATAATTTGAAGTGATACTTTAGAAAATGTATTTGATTAAGTGATCACATACGGCCTAAATGATTTTGCACAAGTGAGGCTTGTCTATATAGGTAATGCATTACGTAGCCTATCGTTTCTTCGAAGCTGGATGCATTAGTCTGTTTTACATAGTACTGCGCAGAAATCCGACTGCGCGTGGTATGCAGTAGGTGAATTGAATTATCCGTCAAGACATTTTGGAGTTCAGAATATTGCTGAACCAAAAAATAATAATACATTAATTCGTCACACCGTTCAGCCTGCGTAAATAAATCCCCGCACCGGTTTACAGTATGTACTGAGCTACTCCCCAGCCACCCTCTTCTCTCCGTTTCTAGAAACACTCAGACGGAAATAGAAGCTTCCCCAGCTGCCAGATCTCTGCTATGCCCTGGACTCTGCCCACTGCTCAGTGCTTTGGCCAGTGAACGAAATACATGCCAAAGCAGCATAACTCATTTCATTGTCCTTCAAGGTAGGTGTTTTCGTTTATGTATGTATACTTTTATAGGAGGCACGGTTTTTATAGTTGTCTTGGTGTATTTTATTATTATTGTTTCCGCTGGTCCCACGTCTATATATATTGGACATAAATTTCTATGCCTTTTTCTGTCCTTCAGTCAGCCCCCGATTATTTCTGTCACAATAACCCCCACCTCTCCTCTCTTTAATTTCCCCCGTCCTGCCGTCCCGTTCATTCAGAGTGCAGCCTATATAGCTCTGACTACGGACACCTGGGATGTCACGGAATCACACCAAAGACAACTGCTTTAACAAAAGTCTCCTCGCTGAGCATAAGGTAAGGGCTGAGGTTTTGTGTGGACCATTTTCACCGAAATGTAACTTATCTTTAACTTTCTTTAACTTTAACTGATCTTATATTGACAGAAGGCTGGAATTTTAATTAATTTAATTCCTCATTTACACAATCACGTATGTGCTTAAATATATAGAACGTAGCCTATATAAACCAAAATAAATATATTGCATGTATACACTAATAATTCTATGTTTTTAATTCTCACATGTAATTTCTTTGTATTTTTGTTCCAGCAAAAGCTGATACAGGCCATTAAACGAATAAAACATGAAATAGACGAATGCTGGGATGCAGAAAGAGAAACGTACGCACAGGCTCTGTCAGTGGAGGTATCTGTAAAGGCGGTGTCAGCCTAATCTGCACTGCTTTTAAGACGAATTCCGAACGACCCCACTCCATGCAAATTTTTTTAGTTCAGTTGTGAAGTATGCCAGGGGATTATTCGTTATACAGTAACAAAGGAACATGAAGCGCAAAGATAAAAACACACAAGACAAAGTCCAAAAAACAATACATATTGTGCAATATGACTAAAATAGGACAATATAAATTAGGGTACGGGATGTGTATGTAGAACTTATATAGTAAAAGTCTGGTGCTATCTGTTTTCAAAACAAATTCTCCTGACGTGTTGCGGGTGAAGGCTGGCTAATTGGTAGGTTAGCCAATTGTTCAAGTTGCGACACAGTAAAAGACAAACTAAGTCCTGCAAGATGATTTGGAAGAGTTAACTAAGCTAACTTGTCCTTCTGCAGAACACGTTTGATGACTTAGAAAGGGAAATCAGAAGCGAGTATCAGAACCTGCATCGCTTTCTGGACTTGGAGGAAGAGATGGATGTAGAAAGGTTAACGAAGGACAAAGAGAAGAGGGTGAAACTACTCAGGGAGAGAGAGAAAAAGATCTCAGAGCAAGGGAAGGACCTTGAAAGAGCGATCGAGACGCTGAACAGCAAACTGAAGGAAGAGGACAGTCCTAAACTCTTAAATGTAAGAGAGAGAGAGGTACAAAGGGACTTTATCTAAACATGAGCGTAATGTATAACGTTTACATAATTCATGCTGTGTTGATTTATTTCAAACTACCGCTTAAATTTTAATTCCAGTTATGGTTAATCAACGGTATATGTATGTCCATAGTTGTTTATGTTTAAGAATGCTGACATAAACACTTCTTTTTTGTATGTAGGATATCAAGGACCTTTTGAAAAGGTAATTGCTGAACGTTCATGCACAGCTTGGCTCTCGTAGCCTCGCCATCCCTGCCCTCTCTCCTCTTAGACACACATGCATCCTTGCTTTTATCTTGTTGCTTTAAACTATCTCCCACTAACTCAGCCATCTGCACATCCGCCCCCCGCCAAACCCCCCCCCATCCCCCACTGCTGTTGGCAGGTGCCAGGTGAATTTCGTCCCTCCTTCAGCCGTGAATGCCGAAATCCAGGCTGGACAGTTCATTGGCCCGTTGCAGTACAAGATCTGGAAACATATGAAAAGCTCCCTCTATCCAAGTAGCTATTGTGCTCTATTCATATCACATATCTGGGTCCTTCTTGCCAATAATCCTGTTTTTATTTCACACTATTCACACTTACAGTGCTGCTTCTGTGTCATGGATTGATCTGCACTCTTTCAATGTTCCCGCAGATATCGCCACCTTCACTTTCGACACAGACACCGCCCACCCCTTGCTCCGCCTCTCGCCCTGTTCCACATCCGTCTGGTTTGAGGTCAGAGAGGGCACACCCCCTGAACCCGAGCCGAACAATCCCCGACGCTTCCATTATTACTACTGCCTGCTGGGGCAGGAGGGATTTACCCATGGGAGGCACTACTGGGAAGTAGAGGTAGGCCTCAAGACTGCTTGGAGGGTAGGTGTGGCCAGGGAGGACGTGCACAGGGGTGAGATGGACTCCTGCACCACAGCCAATGGGCTCTGGACGTTGGCTCTCAAGGGAGGTACCATACAGGCATGCACTGAGCCATGCCCCACCCTTGTCAAAGCTGCTGTGCGTCCCACCCGGATAGGGGTCTTCTTAGACTGTGAGAGAGAAGAGGTGTCCTTCTACAATGCCATAACCATGACCTCACTCTTCTCCTTCTCTATGGGCACAATTTTGCAGCCCATCTTCCCCTTCTTCAACCCCTGTGACACAGATGAGGGGAAGAACACTGCCCCCCTCACCCTCTTCAGCCCTTCGCTGTGAAGCCAGACTGAATTCTCCAGGCTGGCCAGCAGGGGGAGACTGTGGGTTGGAAAATTTCATCATCTCACTCACTGGGATGGGAATGCTGACAAGGCCCACGTGCTTCTGCAGGGAATGGCATTAACAGTGCACAGCTCAATGTTTGCGACCTCCTCTCATCATCCATTTCCTTTGTTGCTCTGTTTATAGTTATTGACTGTTACTCTTATTGAAATCAGCTTAAATATACCTAATTTCCCTGACGTGTTTGTACCTACTGCATCTACACCAGCAAATTTGTAACCTGGCATGAGAGTGACGCCAGTGTGAAGTCTGGGGGCTTCTTTAGATGACCGTTTGTCTTTGAGCTGCTGTAAATAATGTCAGAAATATTAGCTGTGCTGATCGCACATGACATGAATTGGCACTAGTCCTTCATCGCACCCAGAAACACCCTCACCTTCCATTACCTTTTTATCTCGGTATTTTGTTAATGCATTTAATAAAGTATTTGTAAAAACAATATTGTCCGCATGCTTTCCTCTCGGCACTGTACTATCGGTTGCTAATGTGTCCACACTCATGTATATTTACAGCGTAAATGTTTACATCATGATAGTTTAAATGAAGCTACAGCAGAAATAACTGTGAAGGGTAGAGAAGGAATGAGGTGGTAGAATGGAGAGGCTCACCTTTGACCTGCCTAAAAATACCCTGGTGGGTGTTTGCATGAGATCTCTCTGGTATGAACATGACACAGATGGGGGGTGGCGGGGGGAGCAGGTGGGTTAGACTGGCATTATCATGTCTGGGATTAAACACTGATTTTCAATATGTCCATCATTTTCCTGACATGCAGCATACTATACTAGGGGGCGCTGTGTTGCTCAGTGCATTAGGTCCCTGCGCCAGTGACTGGAAGGTCAACGCTGCAAGGCCCTGGGTCTCCAGAGTCACATCACCACTGAGCTCTTGAACAAGGCCTTTAACCCCAAATTTCCCCAGGCACTGGCTGACCCTGCTTTCTCACTTGTACACAGCTTTGGGGAAATAGCAACTGCTAAATAAATAAAATGTAAATGTACTTTTCATAGGAAATATTCCAATTTCATTCCACTAACAACTTTTAATTTTAGTGCTTAAATACATTTAGTGTTCATTTTATTAGGTACACCTGCTTGTTAAGGCAAACAGCCCCCAAACAGAGTCCTGTGTTTGAAACTGAATACATACAGCACACAGACAGGATCTCGAGGTTCAGCTATGGTTTGGCTAAGCTCCAGAACAGCTAAGACCTAAGTGATTTTAAATGTGCTGCCAAAGTAGGTGGTTCCAAGATCCCAGAAACAACCACCCTCTTGCGACTTTTGCAGAGAATTTACAGAGAATTGTGCAATTACCAAAAAACTTCCAGTCAGCAGCAGTTCTGTGTGTGAGACCATCTTGATAATGAGCAAGGTCAGAGGAGAAAGACTGGACTCAGTAAAACTAACAGAAAGTCATAGGTGGAGAGTTTAAGTCCAGAAAGTAAAAATCCAGACCAAGATTTTGTTTCAACCAATTAGTTGAGTATAAAGAGTCACTGTCATAGAGTACTCAACTGGTTGGTTGAAATAAAATCTTGGTCTGGATTTTTACTTTCTGGACCTGAACTCTCCACCTCTGCAGAAAAGCCACAAGTACAAAAAGTAACAGCTCAGTAACACAGTGGTGTGCAGAACGGCATCTAGCTGGTAGCAGCCTGTTAGTTGTTATTACCTAATAAAGTGGCCAATGAGTGCAGGTTATACCAGCGCAATTTACTGCAAAGCATGAGAAGCCAGTCAGTCTGCAGAGGTGAGATATGTACATGTGACCAGGGTGATTGTGGGGGCGGGATCTCCCACCCACCCTGGTCACCCTCATCTGCTGTGACTGGCTTTGGGAGTGCAGTACTGTCCACAGAGTGTAATCCGCAGAGCAGGTGTTAGCTGCCCACTGGGAAAAAAAAAAACTGTACTTTCCACACATTCATCCAAATGCACTGCCATTTTGGATGGAAAACACACGCCACACGCAGCTACTTTTTTTTCAAAATCATTTTTATTATTTTCAGCCATTCAACAGAGAAAAAAAGACTTTTCTTTACAGAAGTCTGTGAACAGTGCAAAAAAGTATTAAGATTAGTAAACTTTGAGATATAGTGCACAGCAAAAAAGTACCAGGAAGGAGTGTACCCCAGCGAAGTTCAGCAGATCAATGATAATACAGCTATGTTAGCAGTGTGCTAATGCGGCGATTACAGGCCCCAGCCTCACAGTACATGTAAGGAACGAAGAAGGATGAGCAGAAACCGAACACTAACAAGAAACCGAACAAGGAGAACCTAATGGGAACCAAGGAGCAAAGTGACCCCGGTTTGGCCCGAGGGATGGGGGGGGGGGGCAATTCGGGAATAGTTCAGTAGGCCTCTGAAGGCCGAAGTGCAGGAGGCAGGTGACTGTTATCATCGTCACGAGTACGACACCGCGTGCTAAGCCAGGCCTCCCAGGCCTGCTGCCACCTCGCACCGGGGGCCCTTCCTGCTGCTGAGTGAAGCACATGTGGTATACGCTCCCTGATTACATCACAGATAAGGAAACCCAGAGCAACAACCCACAGAGTGACCCTCACTTGCCTGAAACGCCCAACAGATACTCGCCGGGCATTTGCCAAGCAGGGAGGCTGGCTTAGTGCTGACCACACACATAAGAAACGGGGGAATGAGGAGAGGGTCCAGCGTGGCATGAAAACATGGCTAAAGTACAACGGTTGGGGTCAGCAGATCAGCGCATCTGTAAACAAGCTCCAGGGAAACTGCTGCAAAAAGATAGCAGTTCCACCTTCGTACGCTCAGTATACTAAAAGATATTTGCACACTTTTGAATATATCTTCATAGCTGTATTAATACTGACATCGTGAATGCTTCCCTGAGTCCATTGACAGACACTGGTTTTAAAGAGCAATGCAAACTTGGGTAACAATACTGTTTTCTAGGCATGCTGCTATATATAATATGCATATAATTTATTACTGTGTGCATGAAGTTAACATGTCAGTAAATATAAGTAATTACATAATACCAGTAATATTAGCAATAATAATAACATTAGTAAAATATTATTAGTTCTACCGTTCTCTAAGGTTAGCATTATCAAAATAAATCTCGTATGAGCCAGAATTCCTGGGCAAGAGAAGTCAGAGAAACAGAGATCAGTAAAGGGGAGAGTTAAAGAGAATGAGAGAGAGCACAAAGTGACTTTTGTCTTTTTTCACTCATTGCCGGTTAAGAAACGGAAGTAAAGTGCATATCAACAATCCACTACAGCTAATCCTTTTATACAACATGGCATCTCACAACAGACTAAGAACATTCAGCCTTCTAGGAGGGGCTGGCATCAGCCAATTGCATGCAATATATACAGGGGGGCTATGTCGGGCCATTGGTGATGGGGGGGGGGGGGGCGCATGCAACATGTGGGCCCCCATGTAAAAACCACGGCCTGTATTGCTTTGTTGGGTCAAACCTGATCCCAGAGGAATTAGGGTGGGGATGAAGGTCTCGGATGTATATATAGATAACAGGGGTCAGCGTCAAGGGAAGTCAGAAAGATGATTCTATAAGCAAGGGGAACCTTTAAAGGGACACCTTACCTGAGTAGATAAATACTGAAATATTTTTGTTTGCGGCAGATCATTTAGAACATTTCCTGTATAAATATTACAGCTTTTGGGAGTTTTTACTTTACACGAAAATGCTTTGAGGGCAGAATGAGAAATGATCGGGTCAGAGAGATAACCAATCAGATTGTAGATATGGTGGGTCGAAGTAACTAGGGTAGGAGGGACCAACCAATCAGATGTCTTGGTCCTGCCTTCTCTAGTTGCTTGGGCCCACCTCCTCTACAATCTGATTGGTTATCTCTCTGAACCAATCATTTTTGGTTCTGCCTTCAGAACATTTTTGTGTAAATAAAAGTCCCATGAGCAATTTTACAGCATATTTGTAGATCTCCATTTGACTTTGTTGTTGGAACTGCTTGGGAATGATTGCAGAAATCAGTCAAGGCTTGTGATTACAGAACAAATGCTCACAAAGATAACTGTTCATTTTCATAAGTGTCACAAATATTTATCATCTCAAAAAAGTGTCAAGGTTACATATTGTGCTTTTATTAGAAATTTTAAATTAACCCTATTTGTTTTAGTACAGTAAGTTGAATGTACCAGCGGTTTGCTAACACATGAGGTAGATGCATTACATTTATTTAGCACAATCTACCAGCAAACCTTCTCCTGCACAATTACTAAAGGTCAGGAAGTTAAACTTCACCTCCAGCCCTACTTTATTTCAGTAACCATTTCTGTCAGAGTTCCCAGCATGAAGAGGGATGAGGGGCAGCACAAGAGCCATAACTCCATGGCTCTGAACTTCCCATTTGCTTTCTAATAGACCAGAGCGGCTGATCTTTGCTAGATTTCCAAAGGAAATAACGATGCAAGCAGGATGAGCTTCTTACACCGTTCCTCAAAACTTCCCCCCCATTAATAATTATCTGATTATCGCACAATCAAAACACAGCTCATGGGATTGCATACAGCTGACTGACAAAACTGATCGTTTTCGCATTAATCTATCCATGTGAAAATGGTGTGTTTCTAAAATATTGAAACTCGTAAGTGTATTTGCCTGTACATATGTGTTAATAAGATGTTAGTGAGATACGTGTTAGTAAGATCTACTACGAAAGTTACTTCGAAAAATCATATGACTCTTAGCAGTCAAATGAAAACTAGAAGTAGATGAGTAATTATGACCATCTCAAGCAGCTCACCACTGGTCTGGTTGTAGCAGGTATGCTGAAGACCAGCAGGAATCTGAACTGATCTGACATTTTCTACACAAAATCCACTGACATTTTTCAAAAAAAAAATTTTGCCTGTGGATGACAGTCATAATAAGGTACAGGGATTCAGTTTTTGGTGAAGTTTTCCAAAGGTTGGACACCACCCTATTTACGGAATACTTATTGTTCAGTTGTCCATCCAGCATTTTAAATAACTGAAGAAGGATGTGTAATCTACAGAAGGGGTGGGGACTTTGAGAGGATAAGGGCTACATCTCACTTATGGTGAATCTAGGAGGGGACACCAGGAGAACAAGGAGTATGTCTCACACTTATGATGAATCTGGGAGGGGTCACCCGGTGGATGAAGTGTATGTCTGATACTTATGGTGAATATGGGAGGGGTAGTAAGGGCACAAGAAGGTGTGTCTCACACTTATGGTCAATATGGGAGGGGTAGTAAGGACACAAGAGGGTGTGTCTCACACTTATGGTCAATATGGGAGGGGTAGTAAGGGCATAAGAGGTTGTGTCTCACACTTATGGTCAATATTGGAGGGGTAGTAAGGGCACAAGAGGGTGTGTCTCACACTTATGGTCAATATGGGAGGGGTAGTAAGGGGACAAGGGGGTGTGTCTCACACTTATGTACAATATGGGGGGGGGAGTAAGGGCACAAGGGGGTGTGTCTCACACTTATGGTCAATATGGGAGGGGTAGTAAGGGGACAAGGGGGTGTGTCTCACACTTATGGTCAATATGGGGGGGGGGGAAGTAAGGGCACAAGGGGGTGTGTCTCACACTTATGGTCAATATGGGAGGGGTAGTAAGGGGACAAGGAGGTGTGTCTCACACTTAGGGTGAATATGGGAGGGGTAGTAAGGGGAACAAGGGTGTGTGTTTCACACATGGTGAATATGGGAGGGGTAGTAAGGGGACAAGGGGGTGTGTCTCACACTTATGGTCAATATGGGAGGGGTAGTAAGGGGACAAGGAGGTGTGTCTCACACTTATAGTGAATATGGGAGGGGTAGTAAGGGGACAAGTGAGTGTGTTTCACACATGGTGAATATGGGAGGGGTAGTAAGGGGAACAAGGGCATGTGTTTCACACATGGTGAATATGGGAGGGGTAGTGAGGGCACAAAGGGGTGTGTCTCACACTTATAGTGAATATGGGAGGGGTAGTAAGGGGACAAGTGAGTGTGTCTCCCACTTATGGTGAATATGGGAGGGGTAGTAAGGGAACAAGGGGGTGTGTATCATACTTATGGTGAATATGAGAGGGGTAATAAGCAGACAATGGGGTGTGTCTCATACTTATGGTGAATATGGGTGTGGTAGTAAGGGGACAAGGGCATGTGTCTTATACTTAAGGTGAAATAGGGAGGAGTTACAGGGGTATGTTTCACATTTAAAGGCCTTGCCAGGCATTCCATCTGAGCAGATTAAAAATATTGGTCAAACAATAATAAAATCCATGTCCTTTCATTTCATCCTGTTCATCACCCTGTATAGAGAACAGTGTTAGTATAGGTGCTACAAAGACCTGCATCAAATACCTGCACTGGGTATCAAATGCCTCAAAGTGTCAAAAATAGATAAAGCAATGTGTTAACCATATAAGGGATGCTTAGGCATTCAAGACTCAAGTCTTAATTGTTGGCTTTGGGAAATCTGAGATGTTCAGGCAATGGGAATCGATATGCTCAGATACACCCAGTATCAATGAGAGATGTTTCAGCAGTTTTTGCCTGAATGTTAAGGTGTCTAACGGGCGTGTTCCTCGCGCATTTCTGATCATACAGCAACTTATGCAGTCTTTTCTAAATACATACATGCAAAAAAATACACATTTTTAGAATGAAATTCATATTAGTTTGGCAAAAGACCAATCAGGGAGCATGCAGTCATTTTCGCCACCAGAGTACGAGGTAAATAGTTGACGCAAGAGTCCAACCCTGCGTCTCATTTATCAATGTGTTTTGAGATTTACCAGACTGGTTGTTTATCATTTATTCTAGGCATCAGTCAGATATGAATATTTAACATTTTGAGTAAATCCTTGCTTTTTTTTCCAGATGAATGGTAAGAGTGTTTAAGTAGCAAGCAGAGTAAATGACAGCAATTAAGGTAAGGATGTGCAGAAGTGGAACGATGAGAGATAAGCGACAGTGTCTGATGGAGTGTGAGTGTGTGTGCTTGTGTGTGTGTGTTTTTCAGGGGGTCTGGGGAGATCGTTGGGCGGGGGGGCAGTGCTCAGGTGCTGGAATTTTCTCCAGCAGTGCCCTGGTCAGGTGTTGGTGAAATCGCATCCTTGCTAACCTCGGGGTCAGGACTGGGGGCAGCTTCTGGGGGCGGAGTCGGGGCCGCATTTGACATGGGCATAGAGCCTGGGCTGGGTTCGCCGGATCTCGGAGCCGGCTCAGGGACCGTGTGACTCATCAGGTCGGCATCTGGGGTGGCACTCGTTGGGGGGTCAGGGGTCAGACTGCCACTTATCTTGGAGTCGGGAGTTTGGCTGGCACTCAGTTTTACCTCAGGAACTGCGGTGCCATTCATCAACTCAGAATCCAGGAGGAGCTTCTGTGACGTGTATGTTGGCAGGCCGTCTGTGTCGCTGTCCAGGGGCAAGGCTGCCGTGTTGAATTCCACTCCTGAGTCGCTGGTCTCCATGTTGTTCTTGTCTGGAGAGAGGGGCCTGTACTGGCCCGGCTTGGAGACCTCTAAGCCCTGAAAAAACAACAAGACAACAACAATAACCACTTAACAAAAATAATTGGAAGTCATGCAGCAAGCAAGAGAGGAAGGCAGGTGTGTCAATGGCGTAACGTAACAGACACACAAAGCCACATTCCTGGGACACAGGGCCTGGGGTCGGGTGGGGGTCCTGTGTACCTTGATGTCCACCTCAGTTTTGTCGGTGTTGCTGTCCCACTGAGACTGCAGAGATGACTCCTCTGTGAAGCGGGCATAGGCATCATGGACCACCTGCAGGGGGCAGTCAAGCACAGCGCACTGATCCGCTGAACACGATAGACAGGCACTCGGCACACGGGTAATAAAAGCACAGCCATAAACGACAATGCGAAGCATACATATCGATATGGGAGATGATGTGGAGACGGGAGAAAGTCATATTCACACATTTACAGCTACAGACAGACAGACAGAGGATACATATTGTAACACCACAAAGGACTATAGGTACATAATGCGGTTAATACAGAATCTAGTGAGTTCTACAAAATGCTATGGCGGCTTTCTGGCCGGAACAGTAATTTGTGTCAAAGCTAAGAGAGGAAGAGGATTAATGGAGTGCTTTACAGGTCTTCAGGGGAAGGTTCCAGAAGAGCTGAGTAAAGCAAATAAGCCAATCAGACTCTGATTCTAGCGACAGTTGCTATCCAGAAAAACACATTCATATACATGTAGGGACATAAAACAGGCGACTGCCAACAGAAACCAGAGATGGGCATTCTAATAATGAAAACTGCACTGATCAAGTTATCGATTTTATTTCACAGCATAAGAATAGAGCAAGAATATATTATCTTTGACTTACTGGGGTAGTCCTAGTAGATATATGGCAATAATAAATAAAACATGAATTACAGAAGCAATTTGTATGATTTGGGATGTAGTCACTGGAAATTGCCTGGTGAGATCACTGACTGCTCATCAAAGCCTTTTTACAAGACCTGGCTTCTCAAACTGTTATTTACACATGGCAGAAGCTTGGGAGAATGGATACACATGGCACTATATATGTGTATATATATATATATATATATATATATATATATATATATATATATATATATATACACACACACACACACACACACACACACGCACAACCTAAAGTGTACAAGGACACACAAACAGCTTTAGCATGTGTGGGTGATCCATGAGGTGAGGGCGTGAAACACCGATCACCAACACATTTATACACCACCAAGGTAGAATTCAATACTGTCATGTTTGCCGTTCAGGTAGCAAGAGGAGTTACCTGAAATTCACAAAGAATATGAAGGTAACAAGCTGCAAAGCCGAAGCATTGACTCAGACCTTCAGTCCAGAAATATTTATGATTATTCTAGGAGGAAACCTTTGAAGAATAGACTTTCTTTATTTCCAATTAATACTATCACACTGATTCAGCCCATTGTGGCTTTACAAGTGCACCATGGTGCTACATTTATTGATTTCACTAAGACAATTCATTTACTCTGTGGTCGTGCAACACTGTCATGGGAGACAGTCGGGGAGACAGTAGAGCTCATCTAAGGTTCCTGTAAAAGACTCTTGAACCTAATGGAATCCACCAAACCTTACAGAATGGTTACAGCAGCACTGGACTTCACTACAGCAGTGGTCTTCACTAATCACCAGGCGATGTACTCGTGAAGTTCTGCTATTCCTGAGATGATCTGAGAGATCTACTGGTGAGAAATGGAGACCAGATCTGCTATCTGGATAAAACATTTACTGAAATAAAACATCTGAATGACTCATCACCTTGGTGGTGGTGTGACTTTTTTCAGTGTGTTTTTTTCTTAAAACAATGGCAGTCATAATCTTACAGCTACTGTTCTGGGTTTTGGTCTCTTAAATGACAACATTAATGCTGCACACCCAGCATACCATACTCAAAAATATGCCTGGACTTTGGGTGGAAAGGTGTAAAAATAAACACAGATATCACCATACAAATTCATGGGAAAAAAAAGATTACGTACTTACACAAGCACGTAACACGCGTGTGTAAGTAAACTGGGATGTGGAGATAAATGCATACATTTCAATAGCTACTCCACCTTCAACTAGCAATAACAACAACTCCTACAATTGGAATCCCAATTAAGAGACTTGCAGGAGGTGGGTCACCTCACAGCACAGACAAATCTACCAGACCACCAAAGATGATGGGAAAAATAATAAAACGTTACACAGGAACTTCCTCTCTTTCTTTGTCAAAGCAAAGCTGTTTGACGTTGAAGAATCGAGACTTAACTCTACAGCCGTCCTACAGTGTTAGTACGAATACCAGTACACATAGCCTTATCACTAGTGAATAAGGACTGAATCACAGTGTCTCACCAAGCAGAGGCTCCTTCAGAGGCTCCTTTCAGAGGAAGAAATGCAATGCAGATCAATCGTTATCTAACTTCCCCCGGACAGACAATCTAACATAGCGCAGAATCCATTCTAATTACCACCTGCATAATGAATAATAGCGGTGCAGAGACTACTGAGTACTGCCATACAGCACCCTGCGCTAAGAAGTGCTTCAGAAACACAAAGAAAATGAACAAAGGAGGGCACAATTCTGAAAGGTCTGTAAATGTGTTTTTTAGACCAGTGTTTCTGAACTGGTCCTGGAGGATCCCCAGACAATCCACATTCTTGTTGTACAGGAAGCTGGGAGGAAGCAAAAACATAGGCTGCCCGGAGACCCTGAGGACCAGGTACAGAAGCACCGGTCTAAAGACGTACTATGCATTAGGGAAGCTTAGAATTTAGCATATTTTTGCAGGTGATTCAAGTTCACAAAATGAGAGAACTCATTAATATTACTTTGAGGACCTGCAATGGGACAAATAGAGAGATAGGGAGACGCAAGACACAAAAGCACACAGACAGACTACAAAGGCCGCAAGTTCATCTCAGGTTTTCTTAATGCTTTAACACTACTTGACAGGCAGGTTTAGGAGTTAATTGGTGGGCTCATTTTCCAGCCTATGCCTGGACGTGTCATGTCTGCGTTCAGTCAGGTTGTAATGCACAGGGCCCACCTGGCGGAAGGTCTCGCCCTCCTCCTTGCCGGCGTGCTGGGCGATCTTGGCGATGGCCTTGGCCTTCTCAGCCCGACGATGCACTTTCAGCATGCAAGAGAATAAGCAGACGCAAAGCAGGAAGGCCAGCAAGGAGAGCAGTGAGATGATGGCCACATAAAGGGACGGCAGCTTGTAGGCTGTAGGAGAGTGGGCATGGAAAGAGGGAGGAGGAGTAGACAGCACATTGGAAGGGAACCGGTGGAGTGTCAGAAGCAGGTGGAATGAGATACGTAGGTAGGAACCAAGCAAGGGTAGGGACGAAAGAGAATAGAGAGGGAAAAATAAGAGGGAAACAGGGAGATTAGTAGGAGAAACATTCACGTGGTCAATCAATCTTCAGTCTTGCTTCATTCACTCTTTTGTTGCTTACGGTCAACGGTCAGGTATACGTTGGACACGGGGAAGTCCTCCAGGTCAGTCACTTGGAAGAGTCCTTTATCTGTGACGCGGACGTGCTCAAGAATGCACAAAGAGCCCTCAACAAAGAAGCGACCATCCAGACTGGCATCCATGGGCACCACCAGCTCCCCCTGGTCCAGCACAAGTCGTCGCTTGGAGTCAGATTCCGGAGTGTAGAACACTTTGACTAGGGATCGGTTCAGGTACAGGTGTATCTTCAAGGTCCCAGCGTATGGCAGGTGAGCAAAGTGCTGGTGCTCTGTGAGGAACGTGGCCAGGAGTTCAAAATGCACACAAAGCAAGTTGGCGTGAGTGAAAGATCAAAGTCCGTCATCTTGGCCACTCACCTTTCACATTCAAGCACATCTTCTTCTTGACTTTCATCTCAGAATCCAGGATAGTGTAACTGCCCTCGTCTGCCCGGGTGACCCCATGCAAGCTCACCCTCTGCTCCGATGCCCTAAGACGGGTCTTGTAGTCCTCCGTAGGAGTCAAGGATTGGTTCAATAGCACTGTCACTGGGCCAACACTATCATTAATCTCGTTGGGACTGTGCCTGAACTCCAATATGATTGGTAGAGAGACGTCATGCATGGGGATGTTGTAAATTTCGCCGTATTTAACATTCTGTTCATTGGAACAATCTGCAGTTTGTGAAAGAAAAAATGAGTTTTTAATTACTTACCCTTACTTAATAAATTACCCGGATCCTCATCCGATTATTCTATTTTTAATAAAGGAACCAAGAGACATTTACGTGTGAGGTTCTCGTCGTACCTCAGGAGTGATTCTAATCTATTCATAGCATTAGCTTTAAAATATTAAACATGTTAAATGGGCCCTAACAGGTGATGGTTATGAGAATTTGACTAATACCATTACTGCCTGAAATACTCATAATTACTCAGAAAGTTTCGATTTTTTGGGATGGGCGGTTTCGGTACCTCTGACAATGAGCTTGATGCGTTTCACAGAATGTGGGTCATCATTCGTGATCACATACTCTCCCTCGTCATCCTCCCCCACATTCTCCAGGACGAGGTGGTTCAGGTGGTTCAGCGTGACCCTGTTGTCTGTGATGTTCCCATCTTTCATCAGAACCTTTTCAGAACCCCCCAGGACCAGAAAGCTGGGCTTAAAGAGGACCTCCGTGCTCCTTGTCAGGGAAGTGAGGATTTCTACATCCTCCCCAAAGAAGGCTATCCTGGGTATGTCTTTAGCTGTCACAGGGAAGCAAAGGGAGGAGCCGAGCAGACGAGAAAATATGTTAGTCACTGAGTCACCACATATGGTGTCACTGCTGCAAATCAGAACAGAGAAATCTAAACAGATACAGACCTTTCAACTTTGAAGAGAAAACTGAAAAAGAGGAATAAAGCTCTGTAAGTCAAATTTCAATGCCTCTTTTTCTTAACCTGTAGCAGCCAGCATAGCTATATTCATCCAGTTTTAAATAAAGAAAACAAAATCAACATCCCTACTAAGAGCATTCAACATCATGATTTTAAACAACTCAGAACCTCAGCTGCCTAAAGAAAATCTGAACTGTTAAAAAAAGAAAAAAACTGTTGTTTAGCCAGGAAAAAAATGTTTAATTATTAAACTGAATTAGCCAAATTGTTTCCGGAATGTCCCAAATTCAAGCACTCAAGTTCACTGCCATTTTCTAAAGTAGCCGACCCAGGCGTTAACTAATGATAATAACCCAGTATGGTAAGTAGCCTATCTCAACCACGACAATCTTTAAAATAACCTCTCACAGGTAAGTACAAAAAACTCTGTTTATCATTTTCTGGTTCTTAATATGGTACCTTCAGTTTGGTGGAAAAAAAAAAACATTTTATTTTGTTTATAGCACTATCCAGTAATAAACTCACTCACTCACAGCACTGTGCAAAACTATGAAAATGAACACGTACACTAAAGCATCATTTTTGATAGCTTACCAGCTGGACCGCTTACCTGAACACAACAGAACTGACATTGTAATTGCTCTCAGGATCGTCATTTTGGCTTTGTCTCTGAAAATAAAAGTGAAAAAAAAATGCAATTTCGTAGAAACGCACATATAAATGAGACCATGGGTGGGTTTCCCGAAACCTTCTTAACGCGTAAGTTCTACCTTTCAACCCAAGGCTTGGGGAAACTCACCCCATGTGAGCAATGGACATCACTGCAAGGAAGCACAGCTGACGGACAGTTCCTCTGCCACGCGGCTCGGGCTCAGTGTCCCCGCGCAACCTGCACGCGGTGTTTCCAGTTACTTTTGGTTACTGATTTTTCTACATGCAGCTAAAATTCTTAAGTGAATTAAGTTGCAAAAATGACTACGTTCACAGGGCTTTTTCTAAGAAAAAGGCAACGTATACTGGTCTGTGGTGCTGCAATGGTGCTTGTCTTTGAAACACGAGGGAAAAATCTTTCTTTGTCTTGCAGGTTAACTTGAAAAATTAATGGAAACTAAAGCCAAAGGAAAATTACACATCAAGTACAATGCAAAACAGTGTCCCGAAAGAACACATTGCATTTCGGGATTTTAATAATTTTTAAGAAAAGCTAAAAACTGAGAATTTCTAGTGTTTTACAAATTATTTGGATGCGGTTTTTAAAAGACGCATAGTCAAATTAAAATATCCTAGTTCTAGTTTGTTGTCAAAATTTGTTTTAAACGCCATTAATGACGATACATATATTTTTACAATAATATATATTTTTTACTTTATCACAATATGTAGAATAGTATTGAAAACATTAGGAATTGTAGGCTTAATAATTTGTTATAATAATGTTGGCTGGTTTTGCTAAAACGCATATCTCGTAGCCTATTCGGACAATCCATATCTTTGCACCAGTTTTGTGTCTAATTAATGGACGAGGCGCGAAGATTGCACTAGTTCGGACAGTTTGAGGCAGACTGTCAGAAATGCACACAGTTCCTAGACAGCCTTGTAATTCCGGACAAACCCACTCCCCTTTAATACTCCTCTCGAGAATAATGTGCCAGTTTTTACCTCCTGCGTGTTAATCGGGCACCGCTATGCTGACAGAAGGGCCACATTTCTTTGCCGAGCCTCATTCCCCATAGTGGCATTAAAAATGAAACAAACTGCAATAAACAGACGGCCCCGCCCTCTATGTCTAGATGTAGATAAAACCATCTCTATTAGCCAAGCAGTAATTCTCTACATGCATATTAGGGAACATATTTCTTTTTTGTACCCTTTATTCTGAAATAAGATTTTGCCGTTCTTCCCCTTACTGGGCAGATTAATTCAAAATGTCATTTCATGGCTTTCTGACAGAGTGAAAGACTTCAGGAGGTGAATGACCATCTGGTCTGACTCTCACACTGGCATTTAATTTTTCCTGCATATCCGTACTGCATTTTTACGGTGGTGTCACTGAATGTGTCAAATAAAAGACCATAATCTAAATTGCACCAAGAGACAAACCCACACCCCCGTACTGCTCGGATCTCTCACGATAGCCATTAAAAAACCATGAGGCAGGGAAATAAACAACATTGGATCTACACAAGTACATTATGTAACAATACAACGTATGGCCGGTTATTTGTCCGCATAATTTATAGATTTTATAGAGTACGACGTGATGATAATATAAACACATCAACTGCTTCACATCCCCGGGTAGCTCACAGTGTTACTTGCGTGGTGTTACTCGCGGAAACGTGCATTTAATAGTCGGCTAAATATAATCGATATCATTTTAGCAGCATAACGAATAAAATGCGAATATTATACAGGTTATCAAAAAACAAAACGTTTTTCATTTTACCAAAGCGTTGAAAAATCAAACCAAATGCGTGTAACCTAGGCTATATCTATTTTTTTTTCTTGTAATATGTAACTATAAATAATTTTCAAAAGTATGCACTATTGCTGCAGTATCAAGCGTAACACGCCCCAGTATTAAGATTTAAGAACGAGTTACGAAGACACTAAAACAAAAAAGAAATACAAAAAGCTGCAGAATTTAACCCATCATGTCCCAGTTCATTATGCTGAGCCGACCCCCTATATATTATAAATTAACAGCAGATGAAATTACATGAAAGAACACTGTGGTTACCTTAAGGAGCCTTCTTCAAAATGTTGGAATAATTGAGTGAGATAGAGAGAGGACGTGTATACCTAGATAAACGCTTCTTCTCACAGTCTCTCTGTACCTCGCCCCCTATCCAGAGCCTAAAGACCGGGGGGTTTAGACGTCGGGAAAATGTGGGAAGATGTTCGGAGATTTTCGTTGCGCCGGACCGATCGGAAATGATCGGCTACTTTCGGTCGGCCCCGGATTTGTGGATCGTTTCCTGTATTATTGAATCTATAGCCTACAATTCTTTTTGAGGATCCGTTTTGATAATATAGTTCGATTTAAATTTTATATGTCGATCGTATACATTGCCCTTTCAAGTGTCATCACTGCACGTTTATAATCTATAATAAATTCTACTTGCTATTTTAAAGTCTCTTCGTGGTTTTCCTTCTGTATCCACCTCAAACCTACTTTACTAAATATACTATATGGACAAAAGTATTAGGACATCTAGTCATTACACCCACAGGTCCTTTTATGACATCCCATTCTAAATCTATAGGCATTAATTTGGTGTTGTTCCCCCATTTGCAATGACAACCGCCACTCTTTGGGAAAGGCTTTCCACAAGATTCTGGAGTGTGTCTGTGGGAATTCTTGCCAAATCATCCAGACTAGATTTGTGAGGTCAGACAGAGTTGCTGGACAAGAAGGCCTTGTTCGCAATCTCCATTCTAGTTCACTCCAATGATGTTCGATGAGGTCAGGCCTCTGTGTGAGCCAGTCAAGTTCTTCCACACCAAACTCACACAACCATGTCTTTATGGACCTTGCATTGTGCACTGGGGCACAGTAATGCTGGAACAGAAAAAGCCCTTCCTCAAATTGATCCCACAAAGTTAGAAGCATTGAATTGTCCAAAATGTCTTGGTATGCTGAAGCATTAAGAGTTCCCTTCACCAGAACTAAGGGGCATAGCCCAACCCCTCAAAAACAACCCCTACCATTACCCATCCTCAACTAAACTTTACAGTTAGCACAATGCAGTCAGGCAGGGAACGTTCTCCTGGCATCCGCCAAACCCAAACTCGTCCACCAGAGTGCCATACAGAGAAATATGATTTGTCACTACACAGAACATGTTTCCACTGCTCCAGCGCTCAGTGGCAGCATGCTTTACACCACTCCATCCAATGCTTGCCATTGTGCTTGGTGAGGTGAGGCTTGCATGCAGCTGCTCAGCCATGGAAGCCCATTCCATGAAGCTCCCAACACAGTTTTTGAGCTGGGGTTAATGCCAGAGGAAGTTTGGAACTCTGCAGTTCCAGAGTTACAGTGTTGGTGACTTATACACACTACACACCTCAGCACTCAGTGATCCTGCTCTGTTTATGTGGTCTCCCACTTCATGGCTGGGTTTCTGTTGTACCTAAATGCTTCCACTTTGCAATGATACCACTTACAGTTGACCATGAAATATCCAGCAGAGAAGAAATGTCACCAACTCCAAAGGTGTCATCTTATTACCACACTTGATTTCACTGAGCTCTTCAGAAGGACCATTTCTTTCACAGAATTTTGCAAACCTGACCTTAATGACTGGCTGCTTGACTTTATACACCTGTGGCAATGGGTGTGAATGAAACAGCTGAATTCAGTTATTAAGAGGTGTGTCCCAGTATTTTGTCCAATTATTGTAAATCACTTTAAGATCAAAGGGCATTATATATATATATACATATTATATATTATATATATATTATATATACACACAAACACACACACAAACACACACACATATATTATTAAAGGCACGGCATGTACCAGGTGAAATATTGCTATTGCAAATAGGTGAGTAATTTCTGGTAAAATTTCCAGAAAGTTTCTCGAACATTTTAATTTTGCATGGGAATTATCTACCCCAAAAGTAGCCAACAGGCTAAGGAAGGGGTGGGCAATCTTATCTGCAAAGGGCCGGTGTGTATGCAGGTTTTTGCTGCAACTCCCTAATTAGGTCACTAATTAGAGGACTGAGACCTAGGTTTGAACAGCTGACCTAAAAGTTATCCCAAAAACCTGCATAAACACCAGCCCTTTGCAGATAAGATTGCCCACCCCTGGGCTAAGGGGTAAGCTAAAATAATTTAGGTAGCTGGCCAGTTTGGTAGCAATCTTGCTAGCTAGCTGATGTTACTGATGTTTTAGCAAAGTTTATTCTGTGCAAGGGTATTTGCCCATTCGAGGCACTGTTACTGGTTGCAGCAATACTCTTATGAATTCTCCCATTATCAGCTGCCTCTGTGCACCTGATCTGTCTTTGACAATACATACACAAAAGTCTGCAGCAGATATAAGCACATATAAGAGATAAATTGCCTGATAAATGATATATTCTTGTACAAGGATAAAGGTTTAATACATGCAGGTGACTAACTCACCCAAAAATCTCAAATGGTTGTGGGGCAAAAGAGAAATGCATTTCTGCAATATTTTCTATGATTAGATTTGGCAGGAAATGTCTAAAAAGGGAAATCCATCCCAGGGGGCATAAATCAATATCAAACTGTTTTGGATATCTTTACGTAACAGTTTTATGACAATGGCCAACACAGCCCCAATAGGAACAGGCTTTCTAGTTTGGCTTACTTTTTCACAGTCTAGAAAAAGTCCGGTGCTGGTAGGGTCAACCTACTTCATAAAAAAAATAACATTCACAAACTTTATTTAGACACAGAAACAGCTATTGTAATTAACAGTTAAACATATCATTAAGAGTAGCAGTTCTTAGAGAGGATACAGGACAGGTATGGCGATTACATGTGCGAAAACACCCAGAAGCTCCAGTTTTCCTTTCCTGTCCAGAATAAAAAATGTTCACTGACAGAATAAGAATCTTTCGGAATCAGACAGTGCGAGTTAGACAGGTTCATAGCAGCTTGGCAGAACCACACCGTTCTGCCTCCAAAAGACACGCTGACCTCGGAGAGGCCAGAGGCAGGTGGGAAGGATTGATGTCACACATAATAAAGTGTTTACAGTCAGCAGTCATTCATCCTTATAAAATACTAACAATGTGTGTAAAAAGTGTCACTTTAAAATGGCAGAAAGTGGGGAAATCACACAGTGAGACTAAGGATTATAAAAAGGCCCAATACCAGAAGAGAAGAAAGATGGTCAACTTTTTAGGCTTGCTAAACATAGCTACTGAGTCCTCCATTCCCCGCACATCCCCATAACGTCACCGCTGTCCCCAGACTCTTCATCTCCGGCTCACTTCTTCCCAAACACCTTCAAAGTCCCCCAGGGGACGCTGCAGCTCGCTACATCCAAAGGAGCCAGCCCCCCCCCCCCCATCCTCATCGCTTGCGTCGTCCCTTGGGAATCTCATTCTCGGGGGCTGCGAACCCTGTCCCGATGAGGCTGTGAGTGACGAGGTCGACCTTCTGCTGCAGGATGCCGGTGAGCAGGAACTCTGCGCTGAGCATGGGGATGGAGGCGGCCAGGGCAGGGCCACAGAGCGAGGCATCCTCTGCACAGGAGATCACCACCGTCTGCGGCTACAGAGACACGCAGCAAGTGGGTCAGCACTCTGACGACTGACAGGAGGGGCGCCACCCGCCATCGCAGGCATCAGCTAACACAGCCCTCAACGGCGTTCAGTTAACCAGACCACATCCAGGGAGATGGATGAAATCCAAAGGAAACACTTCTTCAGCGGGCAGTACTGTGGCCTCCCATCTCCAGGGTGGGGGGGTTCGAGTCCCACCTCCTGTCAGCATGTGTGGAGCTGCGCCTAGGCACTCCAGTTCCCTCCCGCAGTTTGATGACATGCATTTAGGCTAATTGGTGCCTATAAATTGCTGTTTCAGTGGCTGGAAGATGGGTGGTTGGAGACTTTAAAGGGGAGCTAATGGGGACTCTATTTCCATATACAGTGGTACCTCAGAACTCAAATTTAATCCGTTCAGAACTCTGGATTGAATTCTAAAAAGTTCGAGTTGTGATCGAAATTTCCCCATAAGAAATAATGGAAAACCAATTAATTGGTTCCCGGCCCCAAAAAATTACACCTAAATTAGTTTTTTTAGCATTTAAACACAAAATGAACCGGATAAAACAAGAGCATATACTGTACTAAACACATCTAAGCACATTTATCAAAACATTAATTTGTAAAGTAAGAAAATAAATGTATCCAAGCAATGTGTCCTGCCCCGATTGTCTGCTCTTTCCGTGTGTCACGCCCCCTCGTTAACCCCGTGTGGAATTCCCGTGTGGAATCCCCGTGTGATCAGCTGTTTCTAGTTGTTTTCATTAGCCCTCTGTATTTCGTTCGCGTTTCAGTTTGTTTCCCCAGTCCGGTCATTGTATTGTCCGTCTGCGTTTTGCCTGCCTTACCTGTAATTAAACCTGTATTCCCCGATACCCTGACGTCTGCGCCTTTGTCTCCATTCCGTCCCCGCTCGGCACAACAATATTACTATAATTAAACGTATTAATTGTTTATTATTAATATTAAGATAATGAATAAGAGATCTTTATTTTTAAATGTATTTTATTATATAATAATTACTATTGTTATTGTTACTGTCTATCATTGTCTAAATGTATTTTTACTGTCTAAATATATGTATTCAGTTAGTGTAAACATGCACGGTGCTATCACAGCGAATGCGAGGCTGAGACTGAAGCTTTATCCTTTGTTTCCGCTGAGAGACGTGCCACATGACTCATATCCCCGCGCGTACAAGTTATCTTAGGTGGGCGTTCACGGTTTGACTTCTGAGATTAAGATCAAGCTCTAAGTAATTTTTTTTCGAACTGATTGGTTCGACTTAAGAAATTCGAGTTCTAATGAGTTCCAGAACCGAGGTACCACTGTATTCATCCTTAAATTGTAAGTAACCTCCCATTCTCCATACTGAAGCACTAGGTAGGGCTCCTCACCTTGAGGACCGTGGGCATCCTGGAGAGGTAGCGAGCTCCGCTGCAGGTAATTATGTCCTTCATCTGGGCCGGATCAGGCTTTACAGAGCGGGTCACGTGGATCTCATACCCCTGAGGAAGAGGCCCAGAGGCAACTCATAATGGCATGCAACTGGCTCAGGAGAACCAGGAGGAGCAGCAGGGTGGGAGCAGTGGCTAAACTGGGAGAAACAGGAGCAGCAGCAGGGTGGAAGCAGTGGCAAGACTGGGAGAACCAGGAGGAGCAAGAAAGTTGGATCAGTGGGAAGACCGGGAGTATCAGTAAGAACAGCCAGGTAGGAGCAGTGAACAAGGAGGTGCAGCAGGGTGGGAGGAGTGGGAAGACTGGAAGTACCTGTAGGAGGGGCTGGGCACGTGCCGTCTGCAGGGCCTCCTCCAGGCAGAAGTTGAACTTCCTTTCCTGCTCGACATCTTTCACTAGGAAGGCTTGCGGTGAGAGGAATGCACCATTCTTACTGCACTAAATGAGCGAGAGAGAGTAAAGTTGGGTCTTTAAAAATTAATGGACATCGGATGTAGGTCAGATGGAGAGCAGAATTATTAATTTGGATCTAAAGGATCTTAAATCATTGACGAGTAATAGCAGGATGGCCTTTCACTGAAAGGCCTCATTATTCCATCTGCTGGCCTAGAAAATATGTACAACTGCATAATCTGCATGATGATGTCACGGCATTCCACACAGCTTCCTGAAAGTGCTCACCTTTTCCAGCCAGCAGGGGGTGATCACAGGAACACCACGAGCCACGGCACAGAGGAACTTCACTGTGCGTCGCACCTTGTCAGTGACGAGATGGGTCATGTCGGCTACACCCCTCGCCAGGCTGCCTCCCAGGCGAGATAGAGCAGCCTCACCAGCCTCGTCCGTCACACAGGTGAACAGCACCTGGGTTGGGAAGGACAAGTAGAAGGGTCTTTACCCATGATTTGACCCACTGAGCCAAGTTGATGCCCTGGCTAGGAGTCCAATCTAAAAACAGCGTCACCTAGAGGAAGGAGAACTCTGCTGTAATCCATAATGCTCAGATTCTCAAAAAGCACTTCTGCTAGCCTCCGGATGGGCGATGGGACACAAAACCACAGCTCCAAGGAGCATGGCGGAGGAAGGGCCTACCTTAGGAGCCTGAGGGCTTCCGCTCAGGACAGTCGGTGAGGTGGCCTGTACAGAGCTGCGGCGAGGCGTCTTGACTGCAAGAGGGGACTTGCTTGAGGCTACACGCTTTCGGGAACCTCTACCCACCGGAGTTTGTGGTACCTTAAAACAAAAGAGTAAGGGGGTTAATTAAGAAACCAAAATGTTACCTACAATGCAGTATACCTACAACTAATCCACAACTGTGTTTGATACAGAAGAGTAAAAAGCTCCATAATGGGGCTACACTGTGCAACTAAATTTAACAATGCAGCCATGAGGTCACAAGCAACTTGACGCCATTCCTTTCACCAACCACAGACACCCCTCTGTCTCAATGCTGCCCCCAGTGGCGAATGACAAATGGCAACTTCAGAATCTGGCACAGTCTGAAAATCGGTCTATTCACACTGGGGACCATTAACCAGGGGTTGCTTAGCATATTTATTTTTGTCAGAGAAATCTGTGCTATTGCTACTTGGATCTCCTGCTGAAGGAGTCTCACTGCCACTGATTTGTTTGTTTTAATGCTTTTGTGTGTGATTTCATGGAATGTCATGTCAAATGGATTACACCACATTCACCACGGGACACAAAATTGCCTGCCAGATCAAAGTAAAAACTTATAATGACAAATGACAAAGACATACAGAAACAAAACAAAAATACATGCAGAATTTAAAGATTGGATGATTAACACAGAATTTTATATTTCATAACAATCTGAGGTTATTAATTGTTAAATGTCAAATGTGTCTTGTTATTGAAGGTCTTACGTATATTAGGGATGCAACCATAAACGTAATATCGCGACATCACGATAAAAAAATACCTCAACACCGTTGACGGACTGTTCCGATATCAACCAAGATATCACGTGGTTATTTCGCTCGTATAAGCTCTGTCTCAAAAAACCCATACTACAGTAACAAATGCTTTGTGCTCTATTGGCCATGTGTAACCCACATTAAATCCATTACAAAACAACTATTACCACAATAATTTATAAATTGGTCAAATAGAAACAAAAACACATTTACAGTATATTAACAAAACGATAATTTATCTCTTTAAGAAAAAAGACAATTGTATGCAGATTGTGACATGATATAATGAAATAACGTGGAGAATGCGGGTTGTTTTTTTTGCAGGAGCGGTTGAGGCTGGCTACAGCGAGTGCTGCCATAGGATTTAGAATATGGTAAAAAGAAAACCTGCTAAACTTGATTTTACAGCTTATGTGGTGTAAGAAGATTTTTTTTTAATTAACTAAAGGAAAAGGAAGATGGATGAAATGTTTTAATCCACGATAAATAGTTTTTTTTCTGTGCTACATTGACACTTCCTAAGATTTGGAACAGATATTCTTGCATGTGCTTCGCCGAACAGGGACCCACCGAACGCAGTTCATAGCAGCTAAACCCATGTAGCAACTGTGAAGGATGAGTAGAGGGAACTTTGAATTTTGAACAAAAAACAATATTTAAATCCATACTTTATAAAGAGGTAGATTAACTTTTTTTCATTTAAATGTAAATATATGTAAGTTAGGGTGGTCAAACAGCACGTCAACGGGAATTCATTATAACGTGACTTTTTTTTTTTTGATGCCATTAACGCGTGTTGTGTCAGATGGCAGCTCGGGAAAAATAATGAACAAAGAAAAAGGTATTTTGAATGGCAGGTTCAGCATCAAAACTGTCAGACAGGTCCATCGACAAGACCATAGTTATTTGCAGTTACTGTCGATGTGAAATAAGTTACCACCGAAGTACATCTAGTCTTAAATACCATAACAGACTGCGGCTCTTCTCAGAACGATAGACGCATTTGCATTTTCATGTCTTAATATATTATAATACTTTCGTAAATGTAAATAATTTATTTATAGGTTAATTATTTTTATTATTTTTCATTTAGGTATTTCTTTAGCTATATGTGAATGAGGCGGTCCATCGCGCGCTTCTGTGATGTCTTAACTGCATAATTTACATCTTCCTCAAAGTCATTCTCTACGAGAGTATGTCTCCGGTCAAATGGTATGCTTTCCGGAGTTTTCTTCAGTGTCCGAGATTGGATGTAGGCTTAAGTTTATTGGAATTCGTAATTCTTTCATATACTTTTTGTAGTAAATCGATATCATGCCTTCCCAGATCTTCGTAAAATTATTATATTTTCTCAGATTTACATATTATAGCCAGCTGAGTTTGGAGTGGTGAGTACATTTTGCACTGTGCAGAATGTTGAATAAATTCATGATTTAATTTGCGAATAATTTGTGATTAACTATGGACAGTTGTGCGATTAATCACAATTACATATTTTAATCTATTGACAGCCCTAATGTAAATGTATTCATGATTCTTCATGTTCTACAATTAATATTTACTAAAGATTGCTGTTCTAAATTGAGGTGTCATTATCTTTTCCCCCACCACTCCCATCGAACCTAGAACTGGCCAGTAGCACTACTAAGTGGACCCTAAATAGGGTCATAAGTGCTACATATGCACTGTTTTCATGCATTATTTAGAGTGTTAGTATGTATGGGCGTGGCCTATATTTCACGCGGTGAAAACAGACCCGGTGGAAAAATGGCAGAAAACACTACTTCGGAATTTCAGATTGTGTTTTGATTAAAAGATTCAGCTGCTTCAGTAATAATTAATATTTTATAAAGGAACTACTGACTGCTTGTTTTTGTTTTATAATTACATGCATTGTTCAGTCATTCATAGCAAAGAACAATTACTGCTAAGTTCTGCCAAAGGCTTAAGGTCATAGCTGGATATTTCATTAATGAAGAAAAGCAGAAGCACTTCATGTTAAAAGGAAGAACTAATTTGATATAAACAAGTCGATTAATAATTATTAAAATAGTTGTTTCTTTTCAAATATCGTGATAATTATCATATCATGAACCTTTTATCGCAATATTATTGTACCATGAGTTTTCGGTATCTTTACATCCCTAACATATATTGTTAATACCATGGAGCTAATAGGTAAAAAAAAAAAAAAAACAATAAACCCCAAGACAGTCCCAGGAACTGAGAGAGTGGGCCCCCCAGGGACACTACAGCACTACAGAGTAGCCGAAAGAATTTGACTGTACATGGGAGGCAAGTATCACTCAATGAATCAGCATCATAGACAGATGATCACCTCTATGTCCACACCAGGCCCGTCCTGTTCAGAGGTGGGGTCAAGAGCTTCATCCTTGGTCTCCTGTTCTTCTGACATCTCTACCTGCCTCTCCTTCTTCTTTTGGGCTACTGCCTGCCTCCCCCTGCTCTTCAGCTGTACTAAACCTGTACTGCCCTGCTCTTCTTTTTGATCCCCCTGGGCCTCTTCCCTCTCCTCCTGCTTCATTTTCTTCGCCAAGGCTGCACCTGAGATTCCTTTCTTTACAGCAGGCTGTGGTATCTCCCCCTCCACTCCCTTTTCTCCTGTTTCATCCCCATCCAGCTCCTCTCCTCTCCGCTTCCCACCCCTCTGAGATTTTCGCCTGTCCATAGGCACCTTGAAACTGTTGGCCTGTTCCACCTCATCCAGAACTCCCTTCAGGTCTTGTTTCTGGGACCTGCTCCGACTCTTTGACCTAGAAGACAACACCTTTCCATCATCAGCTTCTGAGTCCTTGATGGTTTGGTCAGCTTCAGTGGTTGCTGTATCTGAGGGACTCACTTTACCACCCTTGCAATCTCCTCCATCATTCATACTCGGCCCTGGATCATCTCTATCCAAAACTTGACTTGCCTTTGCAGAACTGTGATGTGTTTCCTTGTCCTCTGTGTCAGCTCCCTTAGTGGTGCTGGACCTATTGTTCTCCTGCACATTTTCAGTCTGCATGGCCCTTTCTGGAGACGTTCCCATGGAGTTGGATGTTGCACAACTCCCCATTCCCCCACTGGAGGCCAGGTTTCCTTCTCCCTGCATACTGAGAGTGGTGTATCCACTCTGACTAGTTCCCTTCTGACCCTTCCTGAGATGGCTTCTCTCCTGTGTGCCAATACTGGATGTGGACTTCTCAGAGCTGACAGAGGTAACCAAGTTACACCGGGAGCTGGCTCTGGTCCCCCGCCTCAGTTTGGGCTCAGGCATGGCTGTGTCATTGTCACAAGGCCTCGGTTCATCAGCTGATACAGCAAACCCCCCCCTGGTCCTCTTCCCTCTGGCTTGACTGGAGTTTCTCTGCTCTTCCTCCTCACCCTCCTCCTCCTCATCTTTCTCTCTTTCCTTGCAAACCTGTTCCTGTTTCCTTTTTCCTCTGGTTGATTTTCTCTTTTGTTCCTTCATCAAATCCTCTTCATCTTCTTTCACTTGTTCTCCATGTTTTTCTTTTCCTTTCCTTACATTCTTTCTCCTCTCTTGTTCTTTCTCCAGCCTTTCCCTCTCCTTCCTCTCCTCCTCCAGTCTTTCTCTTTCTTCCCTCTCTTCCTGCTCCTCCTCCAGCCTCTCTCTCTCCTCCATCTCTTCCCGCTCCTTCTCCTTCTCCAGCCTTTCCTTCTCCTTCCTCTCCTCCTCCAGCCTCTCTCNCCAGCCTCTCTCTCTCCTCCATCTCTTCCCGCTCCTTCTCCTTCTCCAGCCTTTCCTTCTCCTTCCTCTCCTCCTCCAGCCTCTCTCTCTCCTCCGTCTCTTCCCGCTCCTTCTCCAGCCTCTCTCTCTCCTCCCTCTCCTTCTTTTCCTTCCCCAGCCTCTCTCTCTCCTTCCTCTCCTTCTCCAGTTTCTCTCTCTCTTCCTGCTCCTTCCTCTCCTTCTCCAGCCTTTCCTTCTCTAGCCTCTCTCTCTCCTCTGTCTCTTCCCACTCCTTTCTTTCCTTCTCCAGCCTCTCTCTCTCTTCCCTCTCTTCTCGCTCCTTCTCCAGCCTCTCTCTCTCCTCCCTCTCCTTTTCCTCCTCCAACCTCTCTCTCTCCTCCCTCTCCTTTTCCTTCTCCAACCACTCTCTCTCCTTCCTCTCCTTCTCCAGTTTCTCTCTCTCTTCCTGTTCCTTCCTCTCCTTCTCCAGCCTTTCCTTCTCTAGCCTCTCTCTCTTTTCCCTCTCTTCTTGCTCCTTCTCCAACCTCTCTCTCTCCTTCCTCTCCTTCTCCAGTTTCTCTCTCTCTTCCTGTTCCTTCCTCTCCTTCTCCAGCCTTTCCTTCTCTAGCCTCTCTTCCTCCTCCCGCTCTTCCCGCTCCTTTTTTTCCTTCTCCAGCCTCTTTCTTTCCTCCCTCTCTTCTAGCTCCTTCTTTTCCTTCTCCAGCCTCTCTCTCTCCTCCCTCTCTTCCTGATCCTTCCTTTCCTTATCCAGCCTCTCTTTTTCCTCCCTCTCTTCCTGCTCCTTCCTTTCCATCTTCAATCTCTCTCTTTCCTCCTTCTCTTCCTGCTCCTTCCTTTCCTCCTCCTGCCTCGCTCTCTCCTCCCTCTCTTCCGGCTCCTTTTTCTTATACCTTTTGCCATCTTCTCTTTCACTGTTCTCCCATTCCTCTCCTATTACCTCATCCCCTTCATTTCCTTCTGTTCCCCTGGACATCATCAACCTGTCCTTCCCCTTTTTCTGACTCTTTCTCCCCCTTGTCCTTCTAGTCCCTCTGCTTGTCTCCTGCACAGACTCATCTTCCTCCATATCACTCTTCACATCTTCGTCTGGCACAGCCTTTCTTCTCGACCCATTCCCCTTCCGCATCCCTCCTGCCTTTGAGATCCTTCTTGTTTCTCTCTTTTGGGGTTCCTGATCAACTGCAGCTCGCCTCTGACTCCTAGTGCTTCTACCTGGCTGCTTGTCTTCCTCATTTCCTCTTCCTGACCCCCTTTGCCTCTGCAACTGACTCCTCCTCACTCCCTCCTCTTCCTCCTCCTCCTCATTCTCAGGCACCAACTCTGCCATTCCCACCGCTTCCAGAACAGACACCGGCTGCGTGTCACTGGTTGAGAGGTGGGAGTTTGCCTGGAAATCTCTCTGATGGTCCTCCCCTCCCACCACCTCTTGTATATTCATAATGTCATTAGTGCAAATTTTTACGGCCCCATCAGCCTCCCCAGCAGCTTCCATAATGTAAGCCTGGGTGGCCTCCAGGTCTCTATCCATCTCCACGGTTCCGCTCCTTAAAGTAACAGTGTCTGCTGTATACGCCTGGGTGGCACTCAGTTCATCCTCTGCAATGAGGCCCAATTGTGGTGGGCGGCTTGAGGAGCCAGGGCGCTCATGGCTGCTGTCTGACAGCCCAAGTTGGAAGGAGTACACCATGGTGGGCTGCTCCTCAAAACCTGGAGGAGAGGACGACTCTGAGGATGGGGGGCTGCTCAACACGCAGGGCTGCTTAGCGGCTGGGCCCACCGTGCTGCTTCCACCTGGAGCCTCTGACACAAATGACTGAGTTTCCGCTATGAAGAAGTTGTCATCTTTCAGGTCATCCTGGTCGCCTTCAGAAGGTCTGCTTGGGAATACCGGTGGTATCGGAGGACCTGGACATAGAAGGAGATGCTGTCATTCCTACCAGCAGCACAAAGTCATGTGAAAAGCAAAGTACAGCTTCTTTCAATTGTAAGATTTTACGTATCAGGACTTCATTTGGCTAATACAACCTCAGATGAACAACACATGAATTGCTGCTGCTCATCAATCTGGGATGGGTTATAAGGCCAATTCTATACAATTTGAAGTCTATCATTTTACAATGAGAAAGATTATTCTCTGCTAAATGTTAAAGTTCATGACAGTACAATTAGAAAAGATTGAACAAGTACGGCATGTTTGGAAGGCTTGCAAGGAGAAAATCTCTTTCCTATAAAAAGAACATGGCAGCACGGCTTAGGTTTGCAAAGTTGCATCTGAACACAGTTCAGACCACAACCCAACAAAAACGTTGCGGTGGAACTTTAAGAGAGCAGTGTGTAAATAAATGCCCACAAACCTTGAACTGAACTGAAGCAACAAGAGTGGGCCAAAATTCCACCACAATGACTTGCGGTGACATCATGCTGAAGGAAGCAGCCTAAAAGCCGAGCTCTGTGTTTCTGAATAAATAATATCTTAAACTACTGAAAATAACTAAACTTCGAAATAACTAAAAACTACAATGGCAGCATCCTCCAGAAGCAAAGGCTCAACTAAACAGGAGAACTCAAAGGAGAAAAACTAAAACAAAGCAGATCCAACCTCACGATAGCGACTTGACTAATGCTAGCATTCACCACTTAGAATCTAAAATTCTAGCCGAGCTGGAGAAGCTATGGACAGAAAATTGAGAGGCACATAACAAGACCAAACTATCACTTCCAAAGTTGGGATCATCAATGGAAGAGCTGAAAGCTGAAATGACAAAACTAGAGAAAAGAACCACAGAGGGAGAAAACCATATCAGTGCTCAGAAGACAATGGGAGAAGATAGAAGAGAGCAATATGGTATCTGCTGTGCCAAGACATGGACTTAACGGCTAGGTAGGTCAAGATGTAACAACCTGAGAATATTTTGGGTGCCTGAGGGGAGTGAGTGAAAAGATGTTAAGATGTTTGTGAAGGAGCTCAATCAGTACTCAAATGGATGCCTGAAGTGAACTTGCAAGTAGAGAGAGCTCACTGATTTCGAGCAACTAAACCAAAAAACCCAACTGCAACTTCGAAATCCATAAGAGTTAGATTTGTGGATTATTTGGTTAAAGGCGCGAGCGTCAAGCCAAAACAGGCTGTTTACAAAGAAGAACAAATATTTTAACTATGGCTACTCCCCAGAATTGCCAAAAGAAGAGAGCACAGGTGTGAGAGGTCATAATAATAATACTAATACAGTGGAACCTCGGATTACGAGTAACGCTGTTTACGAGTGTTCCGCAAGACGAGCAAAGATTTTTAATAAATGCGTGCGCTTCTTGTTTTGACGCCGAGCGCGTGTCATCACAACTGAACCAATGGTTATTCACATTCTCACGCTGCAGAATTGTGGGTAATCATCTCCCATGCTCGGTCTCAGTCGGTATGCCTCACTCGTATAGTCAAAATTTAGTAGAAAAAGCACCACCTGAATAAGGGCATAACAGTGCGAGCGATGAATCTGTTTAACGACAATGCAATGTTCACATTTTTGCGAAATCGAAATGGAGGCAAAAGCGGCTGTCATTGGATAGGTTCCTTGTTAAAGTCGCACAAACAGAAAAAGATTCCAGTGAGCCAACAAATAGCAGTGATTCTGTTAATTATAGTGAAAGTCGTCCTACAAAATAATCAAGTAACAAAAAAAAAAAAAAACATTTTAGCCAAATTAATGAAATTTAAATCAAATTAATGAGAGGAAAATCTATGGCCTTCTTCAACAGAGCTGAGTGACCTTAGCACACACAGAGTTGTAATATTTTTTGTTGTTTTAACAATGCTGGTTTTAAACTTAAAATAAGTCCAAGTTTTATTGCACTGGACAGAGACTGCAAGTATATCCACAAATTATGCCACAACCGCTCTATGAACCAGACGGCAGCAGCAGACACTGTGTGCAGTCCCCACAGATGAATAGTCACCACCCTCCACCCAAAGCACACCAGGAACTGGTCTGTATAGCTTACAAACAAAATAACAAAACTCTATATTGAAAACCAGTCAGATATGAGGAAGTCTACTGTTTTCCTTTATGTTGGTATTGTTCTGTCTTAGGCTTATTTTGTTTTTTTTTTCCACCTTCAGATTAGTGCAGGGCTGTTGTTATTTTCCTGCAATACACTACTGAGCTTCACTTACGTTGAGAAAAATCTGATCATGGACAGATATGGCTGCTATTAGGTATACACGATACACAGGATATGGATAGCATAAACTATAAGCTTTGCTTTGGGTCTGCTGGCACAATGCAAGGCACTACTAACTTATTTGCCCGACTCTGTTGTTGGATAAGTTCTGTTTGTGTATATAGTTAATTTTCAACTCCTAAATAAATGCAAAAACTTCAATACCAACGTGAATTTTTTCCAGTGTCATTCAGCCCTAACACACAATACATTAATTGGTTGGCTATATGTATTGCATTATGTAAAACAATGTGGCTAAGAGATGGGGCGAGACTTTGTTTTAACAGCGATGATTTTGACATACAGGAATCGTAAAAAGTAAATTAAGCAGAAAGTCAAAGTAATGACAAAGACAGGCTAGGCTACTCCGAGAGGCTAAATGGCTAAGCTTGCAATATAGTCCATCAAACCTGAATGTCTTCTTTTAACATGTAATTGCATTGCAATCCTGTTGTACTAAAGTTCTACTTTAGAATACTGGATTTTCATTCACTTTTAAAGTGAAGTAGCCTACTTCCACACACATGATGCTTTCGCGCTTTCTTTAGATCTTAATTCCCTATGCGGTCTTCCGTTTTGCCGAGTAATCAATTAGGAAAATCTTTTGTTGATTCTTTTTAATAATCAAGTCCAGTTAAATCGAGTTATCGTGACAGCTCTAGTGTATAGTACTTTGTTTGGTGGTGGGAGGAGAAGAGGAGTTGCTATTCTTGCCAATAAATCAGTATACCATAGCTGTCAAGTCTCCCGTTTTGGCCGGGAAACTACCGTATTTTACCCCTCTTTCCCGCCGTCCTCCCGTATTAGTATTTTCCCATAAATCTCCCATATTATCAGAGGCGGATTAAGGTGTACAGAGGCCCCTAGGCTACAGTAGTCTGTGGGCCCCCCAACCCCACCCCCCTCCGCGCCAATGGGGGCCCCCTTGCAGGCTGGCACACGTGGGGCCCCTAGGCTTAAGCCATATCTATCCTGTATAAAAAAATTCCTCTGCCTCTCCAAACTGAACTGTCAGTAGCCTTGCGAGAACTCCCACCTGCAGTAGTTTGCAAGTGATTTACATGAACCAGGTCATAAATGCGGAGGTTAAAATGGCAATGCTGTGTGCCAAAAACAACGTTACTTTCACCTTCTGTGACGACTTCAACTAGGATACAAAGTCTGCAACAAATCTGTATAAGTCATTAGTGAATGCCAGAGAGCCGCATGAGTAAACATGACAAATTAAAAGAAAATGTGTAATCAAAATAAAATGTAAAAGACAAGTGGTTATTTTAGATTTCTTGTACACCTGTCTTAAAATGTAAGGGATATTGGAGCTTGGTTGGGGTGGTGGGATGGCTTGCGGTGGGTGCCGGAAAATTTCCCTTATTTTCAAATCTAAAACTTGACAGGTATGGTATACACGGAAGACTCAGAACTCGAATTTAATCCGTTCAGAACTCCGGATCGAATTCGAGTTGTGATCGAATTTTCCCAATAAGAAATAATGGAAAACCAATTAATTGTTTCCCGGCCCCCCAAAAAATACAATGTTTTTTTAGCATTTAAACAAAATGAACCGGATAAAACAAGAGCATATACTGTACTAAACAGATCTAAGCACATTTATCAAAACAGTAATTTGTAAAGTAAGAAAATAAATGTATCCAAACAATGTGTAAAGTTAAAAAAAAAAAAAAACAATGTGTCCTGCCCCGATCATCTGCTCCTTCCGTGTGCCATGCCCCCTCATTAACCCCGTGTGGAATCCCCGTGTGATCAGCTGTTTCTGGTTGTTGTTATTAGTCCTCAGTATTTAGTCCGCGTTTCAGTTTGTTTCCCCGGTCCGGTCATTGTATTGTCCGTTTTGCCTGCCTTACCTGTAATTAAACCCCGTATTCTCCGATACCCTGACGTCTGCGCCTTTGTCTCCGTTCTGTCCAGCTCGGCACGACAATATTATTATAATGTATTATATAAATGTATTAATGGTTTATTATTAATATTAAAATACTTAAGAAATCTTTATTTTTAAATGTATTTTATTATATAATAATTACTGTTACTGTCTATCATTGTGTAAATGTATTTTTACTGTCTAAATATATGTATTCAGCTAGTGTAAACATGCACGATGCTCTCACAGCGAATGCGAGGCTGAGACTGAAGCCTTACCCTTTGTTTCCGCTGAGAGACATGCCGCGACTCATTTCCCCACACGTACAAGTTTTCTTAGGTCGGCGTTCACGGTTTGACTTCTGAGATTCAGATAGAGTTCTAGGTAATTTTTTTTTCGAACTGGTTGGTTCCACTTTTAAGAAATTCGAGTCCTAATGAGTTCGAGAACTGAGGTACCACTGTATTTTAATCATAAGCAAACAATTAATGATAGAGATGGCAGATAGGTCTTGGTAGTGGGAACTATTGGCGGTATTAAAATAACACTGCTCAATCTATATCCCCCAAATGAAGATTGCTTACACTTTAAGAATGCAGCAAATGTATTAACAGATAAAGCAGAGGGGATCATTTTAATAGGAGGGGACTTCAATTGTGTTCTGAGACAAGTAGGTTCTTTATCCAAAAAATCTACTACTATTTAGTGATGTGCAAATTGGGTTAAATAGATGTCTGGTGCCACCTACACCCCAGGGAAAGGGACTTTACTTAGATGTCACAGGTACATGGGCAGTTAATCTACATTCGAT